CAGAGCACAGCAGATTACTTTGTTCATTAACACAAACACTTTCCTCCTTTTCCTCACTTATATCTCCTTTTCTTACAGTGGTGGAGGCACATTTGTTTAAAGATATCTTCAGAAATTATTCTGCTACACTGACTTGAACTTAGGTACACAGTGTTATTTCAATTGAAAAAAAAAGAAAAGTAATGCTTATTTCTTCTGAAGAGTTGAATATCTTGCATACATTTTTTAGGTGGCTTTGAAAGTTGTTTTCCAATTGCATGTGTTTGAGAGGACTGTCTTTATTGTTTAGAACTTTTCAAGCTGGCCAGACTACTTATATTACTGCATTTTTGAGTTTATGTAAACTGTTTGCAATTTATTGTATAAATGACCCAGTTTTGAAAATGAGTCTGTTTGTGTTACCTAATTTTGAGAGAGTTTGCTACAAATTGGACAATCTATTGTGCATTTTAATGACATTTTAAAATTTTGATATGAGCAGAAAGGAGAAGATTGGAAATAAGTGTTGGTGTACTGATTCTGTAATTACATTAGCAGGTAGGTAAACCAAGTGTTTTCCTGACTGAACCAGGGCTATACAAATGCATAACAGGCTGATGAGTTTATAGTATGAAGAACTAAAACTATGTATTTAACAAATGGCCTTCTCTGGCCCCAACTCTTTGATCCCTTAGGTGAACTCTTTCCAGTCTCTTAGAAGATAATTTCTGTAGCCCACTGCCAAACATTTTGAAAGATTGCATTACAATCAAAGCATTATCAGTTTACTTCTTAACAACACAGTTGTACTATAAAAAAAACAGTCTTTCAGAAATGGTTTGGGTTTTTTGATGAAGCACAAGCTAGTTGTTTATCTTGTAGTGAAGGTATGTGATTTCCTTTTTTTTTTCACTGTTCCATTAAAAAAGCAGGCCTTGATCATATTATTTTCCAGTGTGTATGAATATGTGTGAAGTAAGTGTAACAAGGTAAGATAAAATATTTTTCATGCTGCCATTAACTCTCCTTTTGTAGGTGGTTAACAAATAATTATCATTAATGTAAACTGTTGTTCACAGAAGTGGATTTATGAAGGAAAATGGGGTTGCTAGGTAAGAAAAATAGGTAGAATTGTAAAACACATTGAAATGTAAATAGTAATGTCATATATAAAACTTGGTTTAAAATAAATCTTTAAACTGTAGGAAAGTTCTGACCAGCACTATCTTTCTTCCAGACATTATTTCTTAAAGCAATTGGAGTTAACTTACTGTATTTTGCTTGCCTTTAGATTCAGATCAGTGACTATTGAGTGTTGAGGCCTGGTCTGCTTTCTGTGTAAGTCCTTCTCTCAAGTTACTGAACTCCAAGTAACTGGACTCCAGAAACTTTCAGAAAAGTTCAGTAACTGTGGTGGAGTTGCTTATTGCTTGTCTATGAACAGAAAATAAATCTTGAAGGCTAAGAGCCTCTGCTGTCTAAACTTTTGAGGACTGTTTTAAAGGAAGAGGAGATGTGAATGCCGGGGTCAGAAGAGTTGGGACAAATCCCTCATCAGTATGGCAAGGGCCAGGTTCACTATTTCCATCATCTGCCTTTCTACTACAACTACAAGAAATCTATTAGAAATAGATGGATTTCAGATAAAAGTTTTGCATTTGGCCTCAATGCCTGGCAGGCATAAGAGTTGCTATTTAAATGCTGACAGCACATTTGTCTGATTTCTGATGCAAAAATTAAAGTGGAGGAGTCAGGTGGGTAAATGTAAAGAATTGTGTATTTGTGAATTTGCAGTTGTTGAATGATAACTGTAAGAGAGTGTCATAATCAACACCCCAAACCCTTTGTAGTGGGTTGACCCTGTCTAGGTGCCAGATGCCCACTAAAGCCTCTCTCACACTCCCCTTCACAGCTGGACAGAGGAGAAAAAATACAACAAAGGATTAATGGGTTAGGATAAGGATTGGGAAAGATCACTCACCAAATACCATCATAGGCAGAATAGACTCAAATTAAATGTAATCATTCAATTTATTACTAACTAAATCAGAGCATACTAATGAGAAGTAAAATGAGATCTGAAAACACTTCCCCCACCCGTCCCGGCTCTGCCTCCTCCCGCTAGAGTGGTGCAGGGAGATGGGGAATGGAGGTTGGGGTCAGTTCATTGCATATCCCTGCTGCTGCTCAGGGAGAGGAGTCCCTGCTACAGCATGGGGTCTCCCCCCATGAGAGAACTTCTCCAGAACATCTCAATTAACTTCTCCAGTGTGTCCATGAACTGCTGCAGTGTCACTCACTCTTCCATGGGGTGTAGGCCTTCAGGCACAGCCTGCTCCAGTGTGGCCTTCTCTCTCCATGGGTTCACAGCCTCCTCTCAGGCATCCACATCCTCCAGGGGCTGCAGATGGATCTTTGCATCCCCAGGGCCCTCCATGGGCTGCAGGGCCACAGCTGCCTCACCATGGTCTCACCATGGGCTGCAGGGGAACCTCAGCTCTGGCCCCTAGAGCACCTCCTTCCCTTCCTTCTGTGCTGACTGGGCGTCTGCAGGGCTGTTCCTCTCACATGTTCTCACTCTGGTCTTCTCTGGTGGCAATTAAAACAGCACAAACATTGGGTGTTTTTTTTCTTCTTAAATCTGTTATCATAGAGGCATTACCACAATTTCTAATTGGCCCAGCCTTAGCCAGTGGCACATACACCTTTGAAGCCACCTTTGAAGCCACTGGCTCTGCTTGACACTGAGGAAGCTTCTCACAGGCTCTCACAGAAGCCACCCTGTAGCCCTACCACCACCAAAGCTTGACTATGCAAACCAAATACACTGATACTATATGGCAATTGATTTAGTGTCAGATTCTACACTGAATTTTCTGGATTTTTAGGAGCATGTCTTGAAGCAGATTTCTTGTCTAACTTCAGTCTTGGTCAGCATGTTGAGCTAGCCAATCTGAGTTGTAGTAATGCAAGGGTGGGAAAACTGAGTGGCAGTGAAATCAGCCACTTTTCTTACCAAAGAAGCAGTTAAATATATTATGATTATTTGTACTCAGTGAATATATTTGTTGAAAAATTGAGCCATGCTCTGCCCAAGGTTTCTGTGGGCTTTCACTGAATTCTGTTATAACCAAAGTACTTTCAGTTTGCCATGCCTTTTCTCTTGACAGACTGTTCTCATGTGTCTGAAACTGAAATAATATTGGATTAAAAGGATTATTTATTTAATTGGTCTAACAATTTAATACAATAGTTATTTATAAAGTAAACATTTTTTAAACAGTTCCTCCCCAGCACCAGTTATGGCTGAATTGCTTGGCTGTCACAGTTGAGCACTCTGAAGTACCTGGTGTTCAGGACAGGATTGGATTTATGTGTGTTTGATATCATCCGTAGTTGACTTATGGAGCAAGGTGACAACAATATTTATAATTTGCCTCTAACCATAAAATCCTTTATCTCATGTGATTGCTAGTGTCAAATACAAGAGTACTCCTCATGTTTCCATTAGTAAAGAAAGAGAATGCCCCCTAGTTCTTGCTTTGTCAGCACCTTTATCAGCATAGAGTGCTGAAGCAAATATTGTAATACGAATACAGGATGCATGAAAATGGTCAGTGTGAAGGCAATGACATTGAATTGGGAAATGCTGATGTTGGAAGATGATATTTCTAGAAAATGTGAACTTAAAAGAGACTTGCAGGGGGAATATTTTCCAAACATGAAACTGGCGGTGGTTTCAGATATTCAGAGACACAGGACAGAAATGCAACCAGGAAAACAAGTGGGCAGCAAAATGGGAATAGAGATGAAGTAGATCAGTTGAACTCTAGTGGAGGCAGGCTTGTCTGTGTTGCATCTTGCAGTGAAGGGTGAGTATAGTGGCTAAAAATTCCTGTGAAATGGCAGTGAACAGGATGTACTTGTAGAAGTGGAAATAAAGGTAAAATTGTTTTTCTGGACTGTTAAGGTGAAGATAAATGAGAAGATGATAGTGGAGAGATCAGAGGAGAGCGATGCATTACCATAATGAGGGAAGAACTGGCTCTGTCAGCCTGCAGCTGGCTTAGCCGGAGGAGATGCAGAATGGCTGCAAGAGGAAGGGAGCTGATTATCAAGGTGTTCTGCAGTATGAAATAATGAAAAAATACTACTAATAAAGGTGAATAAAGTGTGAAGATCGTGAAGGGATATTGAGAGAATTCATGTGCTAAAGTGAGACACTGAGTAGGTATGAAAATGTGCCATCAAATGTGCTGGGATTTTTAGAAGGTATTTTCTAGGGGAGATGAAGCAAGGGAAGGGCTGATGAGTGCCTGTTTGTGGAGCAAAAAATCAGTATTCACATAAGAATACTTCTCTGAAAACTTTTACACAAGTAGGAGGTACTGCATGCGGATGTGCTGGATAATTCTTGAGGGTTAATGGTGCTGCCATTGGTACTATGGCATTCCATGATTCTGGTGTGGAAACATTTGATTCATCAGAGTGGGATTTGCATACTAATTATAACATGGCTAATTATTGTATTTAAAAGGAGTATGCTGACATATTGGTACCATTTCTCCTTCCCACATACCTTAGAAATACTTATTATTTAGATTTTTTTTCAATAATAAATGTTGTAAAGCTGAACTTCCTTATATATCAGTGGTTTGGACTTAAAGGGGAGATGGTGATAAAAAATAATTTAAGCATCTGTTGTTTATTCATATTTACCTCTTAACTGTAATGGTTAACCACAGCTTCACAGATAACACTTTATGGCACGGAAGCACCTGGTATGTATGTAGAGATTGCAAAATCATATTGTGCATAGCACCTCTGCTATAAATTAGACCCAAGGATAGTGGGATCTGGCCAGCTAATGCTTCCTGATCTGTATTGGACATATGGTGCTCTGTTAGCCTTTTATCTTTTTTTTTATCACACTGCTTCCTGCAAATCTTTCCCAAAAAACTTTTATTAATCTTTCTTTATTGACAAAAATCCATATTTCTGTTTTGGCTTGTTTTCTGCAGGCAGCATCATAAAAATCAAATGAGAATGGCCTTTAGCAATCTGACATCAAAGGCTATACTACTGTATGATGAATGGATTAAAGATGCCGGTGAGTCATTTAAATCTAAAACTTACTAACTCCCAATAATTTTGAATAGCAATGTGTAGGTATGCTAGGTGTGCTGTTTATCAACTTAGAAGCAGCTTTGTCATCCTGTGAATATTTGTAAGACTTGCCAGGTAACCTATTAACATGATGGTCTAGGTTCTGCATTTTAAATTAGGAAGTAAACAAAACTCAGGTAGTTTATGGAATTAAAGTCAGAGTAAGTAAAGTGCAGACAGTGACTCTCTTGTTAGTGTCTCTAGTTGCCTGAATATATATTTGAGTTTTTCCTATGGTGCTGAATGTATAATTTTAACTTTCTTTCATTACGAAACAATTGCATTTTATCAGTTAATTAATGCACAGTGTGTAACTGCATTTTACTTTTGCAAAATGAAAAAAAAAAAACCAAGCCCTGATAAGTTTCAGTGTTTTGAAATCAACCCTCAGAGTAATTAACTCTGTAACAGTGGCAATTTGACAAAGAATGTTTGTCTCTTGTTGCAGTTAGTAAGGGATATTAATCCCACTTTGATTTTATGTTGCAACTCTCTTATTCTGTTTGCTTACCAAAAGCTGATAGAGAAGACCTCAATTTTTGGGCTAAGACCTATCAGTCTCAGTGTTTCTCACTGTGGTAGATAGATAGTGACAGGGATGAGCTAATTCCTGGAAAAAAATTGAGAAGTGATTAAGGTTTGATAGATAAGACTATTGATTTATTTTTTCTAGCATAGCTGAGCACCACTTTTCTTCTTCCATAAAAGCACAGCCTGTACGTGAGCAGGGAGTTTAATTAGTATGACACACAGGGTGAAGTAGATTGGGAGGGAGCATGCACTTCTGCTGCAGTATCCATGACTCCAGACCCTGAGTTGTCTCCATGCCCAGCAGTGCTTGTATTTGGCATTTTGTACAATAGTGTTAGTGGTGGAATATGGTTTTCTCAGGATCAGGCTGGGAAGAATAGTGGGAAAGGTTTGGTAGGAGCAGGGCAAAGGTAGATACAACAAAAACAGTTGTGAAGAGATGGTGGTTCTCCTGCAGCATACTTGAGCAGATTCCTCATGCTGTGGGTCACAGTCCTCCTTGGTCTGTGGACAGCAGCACTGGCACATCACAAGCTGTGAGCAGTATTGTAAAATGCTCTCTTCCTCAATCTGTTTTTACACTTCCAGTGGCTGTTAACCACATCAGAAGGTCTCATGGCTGAAAGGTTGCTTGAATGCTGTGGGTTGAAAATTCGCTGATTTGAAACATTTGGCTATGAATTAAACACTTGACAAAAATAACAGTAGTATAATTTTATCCTTAAAATACAGCAGGAAACCATGAAAGCAGCAGTTTACTGAGTCAGTAACTACTAAAGTTTGGGATCATTCTGAACCAAATCTTCCAAAAGACAGCGTAAAAAAAAATTAAAGAAAATAAACATTACACGAGGTTTGTATCAGTTCACCTGCTTATGGGGAGATGTGTCAGTCTTTGGTGATCTGGACTCTGTAATGAACAACAAAAGGGTGCAGTGAAATCATGGTGATGCTCAGATGAAATACCTGCCTGCCTCATCTGCGAGGGAGTGGCGAGGGAGTGGGTTGTGCTTACAAGGAGGTGCCTCTGCAATACAGCTCTCTGGCATAACTGTGAAATAACTTGCAACATTTGATTGTTGTATTATAACTTTCTTGTCATTAAAAGTGTGTTCTTTGTTGTGCTATAAAGACAAAATCATGTCACTCGTGAGTCTGTGTCTCCTTTTCATCATATGTGAAGAAAGAAGTGCTAAATCCTACATGGGTTAAATCATGTTATCCAGTTAGTATAGATTTGAGGTGAATGGACTCTTAAACATGATCAATGACAGAAAAACCTAGACCATCAGGAATTAAATACTTTTCTGTAGTTGTTTTAGTAAGTACTATAGACATCTGATTTTTTTTTTTTTTTCCTTCCTCTACCCTCTCTAGATCCAAGATTGGAAGGCTGGCCACTCATGTCTTCACCTTTTCCAACAACTTTTATCATTGGAACCTACGTTTATTTTGTCACTTCCTTGGGACCCAAACTCATGGAAAATAAAAAACCTTTTGAACTCAGGCAGATCATGACATTTTATAATTTTAGTGTGGTAGCCCTCTCTTTATATATGACTTATGAAGTAAGTATTATGTTTGTAATGTATTAATATATTTCATGTCTTTAACAACTAACTTTTAATAAATTTATTAATATAACTCCTACACTGCAATTCTCAAAAATATTATTGTCATGGCAGTAATTATCATCCTCCAAGGTGTATGTGAAACTTGTAATTCTTGGACAAAGAGAATAAGTCATATCCAGAAAGAGAGAACATGAAAAATTCTGTGTTATTATATACAATTTTGTAAGTTTAAATTTTTCATCATTTAAATTCTTTGTATTGCAGCAGGTAAAGCAGACAATATGCTTTTCTTAGTATTTTGTAATTGTTTCTGTCCTACTATGTGGTAATGTGACAGACTGTCTTTAAGCGGAAGGAGCAACAATTGATGTTTCAAACACTGTATAGAGTATGTCTACTGTGAAATAATCTTCACTTAGATCTGCCTTTTAAATCAATGACAGAGGTTAACAAAATTCAAGGCATTTTTGTCCTTTAAATGAAAAACAAAACCCCTCTAAACAAAAACCCTCCAACTTCTGCCCCCTGCTTTCCCCCTAGGCCCAAATTATTAGTAACTTTAACACTGATTTTCCCCACAGCCCCAAAATAGTAAATTCTCATTTTTTTCAAAAGCAATGTTGAGATTTTGCTTCTGTGGGGCTTTACTTTTGTTGGGATTTGGTGGGCTTTAGTGGGGTTTTTTGAAGTGTAGCTATTTGTTGACAGTATTGTGTGAGTGACAGCATTACATGTTTGCTCAATGAAGCATCACTGTGCTACTACTCACCCTGTATGTGACTCCCAGACTATGTGACTATTACAGGTTTGGCAAACTAGTAATAAAAAGCTGACAGATTATTGTGCCAAATTGGCAGGATATGTTCCTATTAGCTTAATTTGCATGAATTTTATCAGGAGTTACAGTGAATACCTAACATTTCTTCTAAGCTCTCTAAAGGCACTTCAGCAGCAGCTACTTTGTCATGACTGTTGTGTGGAAAGCGGTGGGCAAGATAAATACTTATGCTATTTGGACTTTTTTTTTTTTTTAATTGCTGAATTTCCTTTTGGAATTTGGTTCCAAGTTTGGTTTTGGTTATAAACTTCATAAACAAACAAAAAAAAAGCCCACAAAGAAACAACAAAAGAAAAAATTAAACTTCTGTTAGTGTCTGACACTGGCACAGTATTCAATAAGTCTACTCTCAAGGCTTCCATGTTACAATTTCATGAAAGCATACATGGACAGAGTGCAACCAAATGAATTTCTGCTATTGTCTGGAGGTCAGCAAGAAGCTGATTCTTTCCCTTTTTGAAACAAAGTCATTTGGTGGGTGTTTTAGTGCTGGTGTTCTAAAGAAACCTGTTTTTTTTAAGTAGTTAGTTCTTTCAGGAAGTTAAAAGGACTAAAGCCTGCTCCAGTTAGGAGGGGTGAAGCTCTTAGCATGCATAAGTGGATGGTGATAATGAGAAGCATCATGAGGATAATAAAATACAGATGTCATAATGGCTGGCAGTAGAATCAGTCAACTATAATAATAATGTTGCTCTTGTCCAAACTTTAACATATTCCAAGAGAAAAGATTATATTTGGTACATATAGTCCTTTGGTCATGTGCTTTCAGTTGTAGTTTCTCATCACTCATATAAGTGGAAAACTAATTGCACCATGAAGTTTAACTAAGCAGAATTTTAGAGACTATGGTATAAAATATATATCATGCATATTGATTTGTTCCTTGTCTTTAATGATAACTAGCAATGGCTTTCTGTTGTACTGGTTTTGTTAGTGTATTAGGATGCTGTGTTGTATTCTTTTTTGTATTAAGATAGTTAGCTGTGATAGCAATTTTCAAAATAATTATATTTGGCTTTGAGGTCTTACTTATGCAGAAAGCTGTTTTTTAACACTGGTTTTGAGATGCATCTCTTTCTTCTTGTCAGTTACTAAAGCTGAAATAATGGGTGTAGGAAGAAAATTTTTGTCTATGGGTGTGGTCCTGGAATTAGAAATTCCTCTATCTGCAACAGCAAAGGATTTTTTTGGTAGCTATCCCAGATACAGGTAGATGACTGACAAAGTTGCTGATTTAAGGTGTTTTTAATATTGTTTTTTCCCTCCTGCTTAGTGATTGCAAAAGTAATCCAAAATTAATGAACTTTTCAAAAGATGTAAAGTTAATCTTTGCCCTTTTTTTCCTCCAGTTTCTTATGTCAGGCTGGGCCACAGGATACTCATTCCGGTGTGATATCGTTGACTACTCAAGGTCACCAACAGCTCTAAGAGTAAGTTGCCAAAGACCAAGGTGAATTGTTATCATAGAACAATAGAATGGTTTGGGTTGGAAGTGACCTTGGAGATCATCTAGTTCGAACACCTCTGATATAAGCAAGGACAACTTCCACTAGGCCAGATTGTTCAAAGTAGTGTGTTACACATTTACTTTATTTTTAGAAATGCTTTTTGAACAGCCTGCTTTTTGAATGCACGGTTGTCAAGTACAATGCACTAAATGGAAATGCCTTCTTGCATAATGTTGAGCACATGAGTTAACTGGAGGGATGGGTTGGTTGGTTAGGAGAAAGAAAGAGGCAAGGAATTCATTGGCTAATTTTTGTTGGTTTTAAAATTCCTTTAAGTTAAAAATTGTTTTGTGTTTTTAAAGAAGAAACAATCAAACTATACATTTAAATATTTCTGTCAACCTTGGACCATCACTAGGCCCAATACTTTCATTTATATACATATTCATTTGTCCTGCTATGATGTTTATGGTTTGACAGTTTGATTTTTATTCTTGCAGATGGTGCGAACTTGTTGGCTTTACTTCTTTTCCAAGTTCATTGAATTACTAGACACTGTAAGTATTTGTAGCCTAATAAAAGAAGTGGTTCTGTTTCCTTTTCACAGCAGAACTGGTGCTGTTCAGGGCTGAGGATTTAAGTTGCTTTTTATTTAGTCTTACAATCTTCAATTATTAGAATACCATCATGATGTTTACCCCTATTGTCTCTTTGTATTTTATTGCCTATTTACAGTGTTCTTCCTTCATTATCGGGAAAAACGTTAATGAGGGAACAACACACCTTTAAATTTTCAGGAAGTCTGGATATCTTGTTGTTTAACAGCTGAGTACACTAATCTGTTATGCTACGGCAATGCTCGTCTCAACACTGCAGATAAAAACCAGTTGATCCTGCTGAATATTTTTTTCACACCATCTTCAGATTTTATCTTCTTCATTCATATAATCAGCAGCTCTGAATGCAGGACAAAATTGCCATACCTACTTGCTCTGAATTCCTGAGATTATCTTGAGTGTTGTGACTATAGGGATGTTTGATGTCAGGCTGGTATTTAAACTCTAACCTGTTTAAAGCAAAGTCTGAGCAGCAATGCATTGAAGTAGAATGCAGATCTTGCTCACCACCAGCAACCATTTTCCCAAGACTGACTGTGGTGTTTTCAAATCAGCTTCTGAGTGTTGGAATTAGCTGCAGTTTTTGCCTTATTGTTTGGGGCACAATAGTGATGGTTCAGGAGCTGACTCATGAGCAGTGAGGATGTTCTACATCCTCTGAGCAAAGCTAGCTGTCTGACTTTTCATTTGCAAATGTTCATGATTCAACACTGGGAGATCTTACTGACTAAACCAAATTGAATGGTAATGGAAGTATCAGGAGTGCTAAAACTGGAAAATCCTGACAAGTGTATTGCTCTATTTGCCTTTATTCCCCACAGGTTATAGTGCTCCTTTTTAATTAGTCCCGAGCCTGAATTTTTTAAAAAAATGTTTCGTTTGAATACACACAACTAACCTGTTTCTCAACAGCTTTTTTGTTTTATCACAAAAGTAGTTTCTTAGCTGTATTTAAATCAGCTGATTCCAAATGTTTTATCTGGCACACCAGACTTCTTTTCTTCTGTGTTTGTTTGCTTGCCATCTGATACTATCCTTTCCATGACCTGACTTCTTATAGTTTTTTTTTGCTGTGTTCCCTTAACATTTCTCTTGATGCCTGTACTTTAAAATGGGGCCTGTCAATATAATTTAAGAATTCCTACATATATTCTGTACAATTTTAATGTTTTCCAATGGTAGGTAAGTTAGAGTTCATAAGAAAATGCTATTTCTCTAACAGAGTATTTTCTACTGTTAGTCCTTCAGGTAATTATCTCAAATGGCCTTTCATTAATAGTTCAGGGGACTTAAAATCTGATGCTTGTAGAGACTTCTCAAGCCAAGCAAGTTCATCTAACATGGTTTGTTGCACATGTAGGTGATGGCTCAACCTTTGACATTTGGTTTCAAAGCATGTCTTGGCTTTTGAGATCTCACAAGTAGATTTTACTTATAAACTTACTTGGTTTTAAGTTTTTTTGAAAACTGGCTTGTATAGCCAGACAGTGACTCAGTTTTCCTTCTTATCCCAACACTGTAGCTGTGAAGAACTTTTAAATGTAGTGAGCAACCAGCACTGATGTGTACATTTTTCTTTAAATATGTTGGACTTGATTCTCTTCTGTAACATTCTGTTCATTAAAAATCCATTTCAGATATTTTTTGTGCTCCGTAAGAAAAACAACCAAGTTACATTCCTGCATGTCTTTCATCATTCCATCATGCCATGGACCTGGTGGTTTGGAGTCAAATTTGCTGCAGGTATGGAGAGAGAGTGGAGTTTAGGTTGCACATACCTAAGTTACCTATGGTAGGCAGAAAAAAAGAAAGAATTAAACACCTTGGAAACATCAGTATTTTAAAATTTAGATTCCTGCAATATTTTTTGGAACAACTGAGATTACCGTAATTATTTAAATGTGGGGATTACTCATTTTCCCTATTTGTCAGCATTATGTTCAGTGTTGATTTCTTATGGGGAGAAGAGGTGCAGAGAAGAGAGTTGAGTACAAACAAAAACCATTATTAGACAAAAAAGAGAAGTCATTGAAAAATCATAAATGCTAGGGGAGATACATGAAGCCAATATCTGTTGAAACTGCTTCATAACCATTTTTCCCCCTACAATCTTAGAACTGTGTTGGAGGGAAGGAAAATGCTTTTTTTTTTTTTTTTCCTATTTGAGAAATTATTCAGTCTTTGTTGTGGTTTCTTTTACTGGCTTTAGGTAGCATATGTGGGATTTATTTACACCTGACACTTCAGCTTTCACAAAACTACAGAAATATTTTTCTGGACCTTCTTTATTAAAGAAACATATTTGAATTGTTTTGAATTTAATTTCTTTGGCCACTATCAATTTACCTTCACTTTTTCCTTTCCTGCTTGATGAGTCTTTGCATGCATTTTCCTATGCCATATTAACAGTGTGCACCACTAATAAATACATGAAAATAGTCTGAAAAGCACAGAGTGGAGAAATGCACAGGCTTTTATTAATCCATTTCTCGGATAACTTAGGCTTTTTTAGGAGTTTCTAGTGAGAAATAGTGGGGTTTCATACATGTTTACCTAAAATATGTTTTGTATTTTTTCTTTTTTTGTCCCAGAAAATTGGTGATGAATTGGTGAAGCAGTTATTCCATTGTTTTTCAGTCTGATCTCTTAGTGTCTATTTTATTTCTGTTTTTTGGGGTGGTCCAGAAAGCACTCCAGAAAATTGGTACATCTTTTGAACTTTTCCAGTGTGTGGCTTTTCCTTGTTGGATATACCTCTGTTGTATCTGTTGAGTTTCTGTTAATAGGGTAGTGGTGGATTGATTGTGTATTTCTCAAATCTTGCTCAGTGACTGTTATTAAGTTAATAATAACACTGTGAATGGTTGTCTCAGCACACACCCCAGTGGGTTTATAGGTTTGCAAAGAGAAACCTGCAGCAAATAAGTCCTTCCTCTTCAACCTTGAAAATTTTCCACTTATAGGTGAATAACTTTCTCCTTTATATCTGGATGTTGAATCAGTATACCAGCTACGGGCTTCTGATTTTGCATCAGATTCAAATTTCATATGTGATAATTTGACAAATACTTTCAGCAAAGTCTGTAAGAATTGTTTTGTTCTCTGCTACTAATAGTCCCTCATATTTATGCAGAACTGTGTGTAGTCCAAAAACTCTATTGCTTATCTGTACATTTATCTTTCCAAATACTGTTGTTTGATAAGTTTAATTTTTTTCCAAGAATTTCAGTCCTGCTGCCATTTACCTTGTATTCAGTTTCATTTGTGCTTGTCCTTCTAAAGAGCAGCATCTGTAAAGTTTTCAGTCTGTTAGTAAAAAACCCAAGTTATGGATGGAGATGCTGTTTTTTCTCTGATCTGATATAAACAGAAAAATATAAAATTATGCTTAGTGTTGCTTTTCAGAGCATATTTTTGTACTGTTGTGTAGGTTCCTTTTTTCTCTGCCTTGGGTATTTATTTTTTCTCCTGCATATTCACTGCACAAGCCAAAAAGTATGCATATTTGAACTGTAAGAACATTCAAATTATTTTTAAAAATACAAATAGCTAAGTTTCAAGGAAAGTTTGCAATCACAGCTGGAGGAGTTATGCCTTCTCAAGCTGGAAGATTAGTGTGAGCTACTAAAAACACAAAATGTTTTATTTTTAATTTGAATGATCCTAAATGGGAAAATGGCACTCTTTTTCTCACTAAGTGTCTCCTTTTATGTCATCTTATTTTCTTTTTGATGATCATTGTTTTCATGTCCATGTTTCTTTTAAAAATACTTGGCTGTCTGCTGCTTCTTGGATAACTTTTATCCCTAATTTCTTGCATTCATTAAAATAAAGCTACTTTGAGCAGGATCATGTAGCTCTATGGTTAGTCCAATGAAAAAGGAAGTGTTTCCTTACCTGTTCTTTGAAATACCCATGTGTTAACCATGTGTTTGTCAAAAATTTATACTAAAATGGGCCCTACTTAAGTTTCGCTTTCCTGTAAGTATGTTTTGAGATTGACAGTGGATCTGTGAGACACTTGTCCATGATGATGGATACTATCTGAAACTGTATTTCATTCCCTATGAATCTGCAAATCTGTATTGAGAAGAGACTTATTACTTATCCTCTAGAACTTTTTGAAGTTCATAATGATGTTTAGAAAGGAGGCAAAAATGAGGAGGAATGCTTTCTATCAACTTAAAAAAATGGACCCAAAGAACAAAAAATTCCACTAAAATGTTTTTATAGGTAATTAGATCAGCTGTGTTTTACTGCTGCTTTGGGATTGCTTAGATAAACCTTTACTGAGACAAAAAACTGATGTAATCCATCAGAACTGGTATCAACCCAATTCAAATAAAATACCTTGAGGCTTAGTCAAAGTCTAGGTTTTGTGGTACATGTTTTTCATATCCTAGCTCAAGACAATCTGCTAGGACCTCCGTGGCTTTTTAAATACCTCCTGTAATACTACCGCTATGTTTTGTTTTTCTGCAGGTGGTTTAGGAACATTTCATGCTTTGCTGAACTGTATTGTGCATGTTATCATGTACACTTACTATGGAATCTGTTCTTTGGGACCAGCCTATCATAAATATTTGTGGTGGAAAAAGTACATGACAACTATACAACTTGTGAGTAACTGTCTTTGACATAAGCACCTCTCAAAAACCTGATTGCAGCTAACACGGATTAAAAGCAATAAATTTGTCCTTTCAGTTATGCCCCTGTGTGGAGCTTACACTTAGTATAAGATTTACTAATGTTTCAATTGAGGATATCAAAATGTTTGAGCTCTTCACAGTAATATATCTGCTGACTTCAGCATTCACTGTAATCACAGATTTAGACAAATAAGCTTTTCAGTTATACAGTACTTGGTAAATATATTTAGAAGACTCATTACTTATATAAAAATTATTAAAACACAAATTTGCACCAACAAAATACAATTAATTGTCAGAATACTCATGTAACTAGTAACTGCATGTAATATGTCGTAAGGAAAGGTAAAGTATTTCTTTAGAACTTGATGTTCTTTCATAGAAAATATTTGTGTTTAGAAAATTTACTTATCTTTAATGGTCTCTCCAGAGCATTAAAACCCACTCTTGCAGTGTGGGTATATTAAGTGTCTTATCCTCTTTATGTCACTTTCAGAAGGTTGCTCTTCTGAGTGCTTTTGCATGCCCACCTCATTTAATAGGTGGATTTTCAATATTCGGTTTCTGCCTAAACAATTGGCTTAGAATGAACAAAGATGCTGAGGAAGGAGGTAAAGGAGTGCCCTGTCTGCTTGCACCAGGGCTGCTTTTGGTATAATAGTTCTTGTGACCATGTGCAACTCTGAACAAAGTAGCCTGAATATTTATAACTTGGTCTTTTTGACCTAGAGGCACTACCAGTGGACTATTAACTTGGAGTTCACGTGGAGTATATTTTTGTCCCATACTAGAGTGCAGGGAAGGTGGAAATTATTGCTCCCTAACCCTGTAATGGTTACAGTCTTTTTTTTTTTCCTGGCTAATTTTTCTAAAGGAGCCTCCCATTTGCCACTGTACAAACACTGCCTCTTTCCTTTTTATCTGAACTTGCCAGGGTAGAATTCTATTCTCCTGCTATGAGTTTCTTAGTTTGTCCCAGAACTTCTCCTCCTTTATTATGTAAATCTGGTTTTCAGTGGAGTAATATTTTGGGGAGATGGGCTATAAAGGTACATCTCTGTCATATTAAGAACTTGTATTGTTGCCCCTTGCTTTCTACCCACTCTACCCTTACTATCTGTTTTTCAGCAAACAAGCTATGCTGAAATTTTTTAAACTTCTGTAGTAAGGTTGTAATTTGTTTTAAAAGTACTTATTCTCTTCACCTTTTTCCTCCAGGTCCAATTTATTATGATTACAGTCCATATAGGACAAATCTACATCATGGATGATTGTCCATACCAGTATCCAATCTTCATGTTTATTATCTGGCTTTATGGCTCCATGTTTTTAGTCTTGTTTCTGCACTTCTGGTACCATGCTTACACAAAGGGACAAAGACTGCCAAAAATGGCAAGAAATGGCATCAGCAAAGATCAGTGAAACAAATTCTTCTATCTAAAACCAAAGAAATGTGTACGTCAAAGGGGAAACTTGCACTACTTGACAATCAAGACATTTAGGTGCGCACACTACATGGTGTATATTTTGTATGTTTTCTTCCAAAACAGAATTTGTATTTTTACCGTAAGTTATTTGGGATTCAGAATATGGGAGTGGGGAAGAACTGTGGATCTCTGATTAAAAAAAAAAAAAAAACAACAACAAAAAAGAGGTCTCTATCTAGAAAATGTACAAAAATGTACAAAAATGTACACAAATGTACAAAAATAAAGATAATTGGAAAAACTAAAATGTGTATGACAAGTACTGAGTACTTTGAACACACTTTGAGGGGGATAAAAAATATTTCACTTTAAATGTTGTAAGTTGCTAAGACTATCGGCTGCATTTTACTATAAGAATGATTGTTCAGTAAGTACTGTTTATAGAATCTAAGGCGTATTAATATAGTTAATACATAAACATTGTTACATCTGTTTAAATTGTATTACTTGTAAAGGAAGGATTGTATGTTAATCTGTCAAGACATAGTGTTTCATTTGAAGATCACAGATTTTTGGATATACTATCTTTTACTAGGAGAACTCAATTCATTTCACATTCTACTCAGTTGAACATTATCGTAAATGTTGGAAAGCTACTAATATGGGGATTATCTGAATTGTCTTGTAGCATACTGATCAAAACATCTTACTGATTTGTTCACTGTTGTAGCCAAATATACTTATTATTCAATGTGCCTATGGATATACTTTAAATTGGTAGCCCGTACTGCTGCTGCTTGTGAAGTGGGGCTAGGAGGATTATGGAATCTTTTAATTCAATAGCCAAAATCTTAGTAGCCAACTAAAATGTTAAAAAATTTTGATTTAATGATTTGAGCTGAAATGTTGCCTACCATGATTGTACTGTGCTCTACTTTCTGCCATTTCCATTATCTATTGAAATACATGTCTAGAAAGAGTTTGTGTCATCTTGGTTTTTTTTATTATTACAATTTGTTTTTATCAGCTCAAGGTTAAAGTTACTCCAGTTGCCTTGTCTGGAACCAGGCAAAAAAATATGTGATATTCTCTGAGCTTCTGAAAGTGAGGCAGGCAGTGGTGACTGGGCATGGCTCCACTCTGTGTAGAATTATCCAGTACATTGTTTTAGGCAGATTGTTAGGGGCACATTTGTGTAGAAATCAAAGGAACTTGCTCTTTGTAAGTTGTGTTTGTACTGCATGAGTTTATTAAGGAATTGGTGCATGCAGCAGACCTGAAAATTAGGAATTAAATGTGTTTGGATTAAAGTTACCATTAAAGGTACTGTTTTCTACAACACTATAAAAAAGAAACTTGCAGTATTTGCTATTTACTTGATCTGATCGGTGGGATTTTAAAATACTCAAGACTTTGAAGCAGATTTTAATAGCCTCCCTGTTGCACAATTCCACGAGAGTAAGCTTTGTTACCTGAACACTTTCATTCTACTGACATTTATGGTGCATTGTAAATGCTAAAGTAACGTAAACTATAGGTTGCATGAGTTGCAAATGTTTTCTTTTGAAATTGCATCAAGTCTTTTAAAGCAAATAAATAATTCATATTTTATCTATTCACTATTTAATCCCCTGAGAGCTGTCAGCACTCATGGCAGATTGAAAGAAGGTCTCATAAAGTATTGGGATCATTTGAAATTTAAATTGTAATCCCTGAATTTTAGATGGTTGATCCTTGAATCACCAGTGTTCAGTTCCCAGCAGTACATGTGGAGAGGTGCTCTATCACATGGTCCTAAACAGCTGCAATGTTGATCAGGGACCACACCTCATTTGGTGGGAAATGCAGTCCATCACTGATTCAAAGTCTCAAATCCAGCCTATGTATGTCCCTGGCCTCCAATGTTAGGGGGGCTTTCCTTAAGGACAGAGACCTACTGCTATTTTTTCAGATAGCAGGAAAGAATTTTCCACTTTTATGTGTGATTTATTTTTTAATGCATATATATATAATATTACATAAGTACTGATGAAGGAAGTGGGACAATTTGGTTTTCTTAGGCCTTCTTGAGCCTGCGCATTCAAATGTGTTTGGGAAATGCAAGCCTTTTGAGGGAAAGGCTGTAATAGCTAGTCTGTAGTGAAAACTGGATAATAGTACCCTCTGCTTCTTGTGCAAGGACGCAGGCATTACTCTGTTGCCTTGCAGATGATTTCTGTGCTGTAGGGAAAGTCCTAGTTCTGGTCTCTGATTTTGCAATCATACCTCCTTCCCTGCCCATAAATATAGACGGAGAAATGCATCCTGCAGGTGGGTGTGAAGAGACAGGTACTTGTTTGTTGGCTTGGGAGCTAGATCTGCAACTGAATTTTCAAACTCACTAGGGCTTAAATAGGAGCTGAGACTATGCGCAGTCAAAACTAAGGAGTGCTGCATGGGGGTAGGGACTAAACAGAAAGGAGCCAGGAAAACTTCTGCAGTTGTACACTAGCCAAAGGGATCCAGAGTCAGTTGTTTGAGATTAAGAACTAATAAGCCAGGGCAGAAACTGGAGATGTTAATCATTCTGTGGGCTGTCAGCAAGTGCCGTGTCAGATTCCCACTGCATAATATCTTGCACAGTGGTTTAGTCTTCTGGGAGCTACAAAGCATTTGGAGAGTGAAAATGCAGTGTTTCACAGTGAGTTGTATGGATGCAGCCTAAGAGGATGCATGTAGTGTCACTGTGCCAATGACATAAGCTCAAAACAAATTCTGTCCTCCTACACACAATGTGAGAATCATGCAGATTTTATGTGAACCTAAAAATTGTGCATCTCACATACTTAAATGTATATTTTGAGTGGGGCTAGAAAGAAGGGTCTAACAGTCAGCTAAGTCATCCATGTTATGGTGAATGTTTACTGACAGTGAGGGGAATGAGGCTAAAATTTTGTTTTCCTTAGGCTTGGTGGGAAAGCAACACTGGTGTTACCAGCCATTCCTCTCCTGTGAGAGTCCAAAAAATTGACAGAGATAGCTCATCTGTATTAGGTATCACAGGAGTTTCAGTTACATCCCTGACTATGCAGAATAGGTGACTTGGTAGCAAAATCTCCTACCTTAAAATGGAGGTTTCTTATTTAATTTCCAAATCACCATTTCTTTAAAATACTCATAAAAGGCTAATATGCAATGAGCACTGTGGCACCAGCATCAACCCATCTTCTGTAGGAATAATATAAAATATAAATTGCGAGTAATTATCATCCCACACACTGCCTGAATCAAAACAAAATTCTTTAACAAAGAAACATTGAAAATTGACGGTTTGGAGGGGTTTCTTAACGTTGATTTTTGTTTTGTTTGTTTAATTAATGCCAAGGCTGTGTTCTGTTTATTGGGGCAGCAATTCACCAGCCAGTGTTTTCCTGACACGGTTTAGCTTCTTGCCACACACAGAACCGCCAAATGGGCTAGGTTGGAGGAGACTACAGCAGGTCAGCGGTCCAGCCCACCTACTGGAGTAGGGCCATCCCAGAGCACAGGGCACAAGACTGAGAGCAGATGGTTCTGGAATCCCTCCATGAGGGAGGCTCCAGAACGTCTCTGTTCTGTCCCAGCGCACAGTACCCATACAGCAAAGAAGTTCCTCCTCATGTTCAGGGGGAACTCCCAGCTCATGTTTTCTGGCCGTGGTTTCCGGCCCTGCCGCTGGGCACCGCCCCCGGCAGGCCGCGCCCCGCGGGCCTCCCGCCCGCGCCGCCGGGGCCGGCCCCGCCCCGCAGCGCCGCCCGGCCCGCGCGCCGCCAATCAGACGCGGCGGGACGCGTCACGTGCGGCGCGCCGCCGCCCAATGGGCGAGGGCGGCGGCGGCCGGCCGGATTCAAACGCGGCGCGGAGCCGATGGAGCCGCGGCTGGTGGGGCCCGGCCCGTACCGCGCCACCCGCCTGG